CCTTCTACATGGTCTAGCCATGAACTACAAACCACTGATAGGAGAGAAATGACTTACATATAAAGATTATTGCTTGAATTTCCCCCACAACTTTATGATCCTGGTGGGTCTAAAGATCAAAGCATGATAGTTTAAGAAGAGGCTCCCCTAATATTTACATAGTCTAGTCACGAAATACAAAACACGGACTGTAAAACACTGATAGCTTCATCTCGGTCATGCAGTGATGCAGCTGACCATCTGTGTCAGGGATAGTAATAACTATAGCACTTAGACTTATGTACTGCTTCGTAGTGCTTTTACAGTCCTCTGTAAATGGCTCACAGAGTCAGCATATTGCCCCCCAACAATCTGGGTCCTCATTTAATCCACCTCGAAAGGATAGAAGGCTGAGTCAACATTCAGCCTGGCGAAATTCAATCTACCAAACTGCTGGCAGTCAGCAGTCTACAGAAGTAACCTGCAGTACTGCATTGTAACCACTGCGCCACCTCAGCTCTTTCTACATTATTCATGCTTGAATTTCCTCCATTGTGATCCTGGTGGGCCTAAAAATCAAAGCATGAGAGCACAACTGAGGGGCTTTCCTAACATCACCGAATGTGGAGAGGACAGAGAAAGAATGAGAGTTGTAACTAATGTGGTTGCATACTCCAACTTCTTATGGTGGGATTTTTGTCAAGATGCTGCTATATTCTTTCATTTCTTTGCTTTTTCTTATTTGGAACTTTGGGGCAATCTGGTTTAATTTTTTTATACTTCTTCAAATATTCAAAGAACTAACTCTGGTTATCTCTTTTCTCTTACCCATTCGGAGGCTTACAGAGTGCTCCTGGGGGCTGGGGGGAGCAAAATTGAGCAAAAAACCTCCTGGTTTTTGCTTATTTCTGCCCTCCCCAGCCCCCAGCAGCACTCTGTATGCCTCCTGTAGGCGATACATGGCTACTTTGGTGAAGGGGGCGGGTTTTCAGGAGTCAAAAAATGCTGTATTCAGTGTATAAGATGCACCCAGATTTTCAGCCTCTTTTTTGAGGGAAAAGTGTGTGTCTTATACTCTGAAAAAAATGGTAGTTTGAAGAATCACTAAATACCACCTCTAACTGACTCCGCCACCATCAATTCTCTGCCTCCTGAGTCCCAGCTGATCAAGTGGGAATGGGGATTTGCCATAACCTTCCCCTGGAGTGGTGAGGGAATGGAGTTTTTTCAGTATACTTCACCTGCCATCCCTACCAAGCCATGCCACACCCACCAAGCCATGCCCACAGAACTGGTAGTTAAAAAGTTGAATCCCACAACTGCACACTTCCTACTATAAAATATTTCTGTAGAGTTTGGACAAATTACTGGATGTATAGAGAATCATTATTCGAATCCTGGGAGGAGGTGGAGCCAATGTTGCAACGTTACATTGTGTGGATTCGACTGTCCGAATCCGCCGATGACACCTTTGGCCTTGGACGCTCCAGCAGGACAAAAACCCTCCCGAAGAGACAAGGCCTTGCTGGTCGCAGGGACATCGCAATGTCCCTGATCGACCCAAGGGAAGCGCTTCCAACTGGCCGCAAACCGGCAGCCCCCCCCCCCCACTGACATAGTTGGAGACGGCTCCAGGAAGAGAGAAATGAAAGTATTTCCACCTGGTGAGGTTTTTTTTCTTTTCTTTTAGAAGATTGCCCTAAGAAACTCTTTTCTTAAGCTTAATTAGTCCATTAAGCAGGAACCAAGTGGTGTATTTAATCCCNGAATTAAGCAATGAGTTTGAGACCAATAGTGATGTAAGCAAAAATCAGTCTTGTTAGGAAAGGCTGTCTAATAAAAACATATCCAGGTCTTCTATTATTATAAAATCAACCTGGACAGCAGCAGAACTTCCTCCCCTCCCTCTTTTGGGGGGATTTACAAAGAACTTCCAGCCAGGTTCGCCCTGCAGCCTCACCAACCCCTGCCAGCAGTTCTTGCCTGGGCAAGGTTTGGCTTTACCTTCCTCCTATGGCTGGTGTCAGAGGGGAAGGCCAGCCCCTTCAGCTCCAGCAATGCCCTGTGTGCCAAGTCCCAATCCGAGGCTCTCCATAATTGGGATGTTGGCAGTGCTGGGGAGCACAGTCCAGTTGTTTTCATTGGTGAGAGGAGCTGTAGAGCTGGCTGTAGGGAGTTTTAGCGTGCTGCTTTGGAATGCCGGTGGTTGGTGGTGGCGGTGAGGCACGACAGAACTCCTGTAGAGTTTTAACACACGGCTTGGGCGTGGTGGGTGTGGTGGTGGCAGTGGTGGTGGTGGTGGGGCATCCACGAAGCCCACTCCAGCCTCAGATCATCTGAAGAAGACCCCTCCCCACTTCCTTCTCCTTGTGAAGCAGTTTGCAAAGTCCCCGTTTTGAAAGCCGCTTCTCAAAGAGAAGGAAGCAGGGGGGACTTCTTCGGAGGAGACCAAGCCAGAACAGCGTTGAAGTCTGTTCCAACCTCGGACACACCCAGACCGTACCATTATGGGAGGGTGTCCAGGCTGCTGGTGCTTCCGTATGCAAAAGTATGGCTGATTTCCGTTACCTTTCCGCCCATACCGGTGCATACCGGGAGCAATCCACCATTACAAGTATTTGTAATGTATCATTATACCAAAAAATTACAAAACAAAACTTTAAAAACTTGATTTTCTCTTTAGGAGTTGGGCTAAGATGATATATCAAGCAATATATATTTTCAGGGAAGTGGCAAATACAATAAATAGGTCTAGCTGTTGCTAATAAGTTGATTTTGGATTTGTTGGTGTCATATTTTTTCTTAGTGGTTGCTTGCCTCACCCGCCCGTCTGCTGCTCACTTGCCCCACCCTGCCTGCCTGTTGGCCACTGAATCACTATAGCTTTCCCCTGGCCATATCTGATGGCATGGCACAAGTGGCACCGGTATGCAATGTGTTGCCTGTGACCATCGCCACCATCGCTGCCCTGTTTGCACTGGCCATGTGCCCCATTGCCTGCCAGTGCTGCGCACAGCTGCCCACCGGACCCAGTCAGGGGAATGGCGTGTTATATGTCCCAGCAGCCCTAGAGCATCCCAGTGGAGCTGCTCGGAAGGCAGCCACCAGCTTCTGTCTTTAAGGTACTTTAACACAGGGTAAAGGGGGGACCATAAAGGGACAGGAAGCCACAGGAGCTGCCTTCCAAGTACCTCCACTGCGAAGGGAGGCAGAAAACTTTGGCTTCTCTCTGCCGCACCATGCAACATGACTGCTTTTCTCCTTCTTGGGCTCAGGCACACAGAGCAAACATGAGAAGGAGGCGAGAAGCAGCCAGGTTGAACACTAGAAGACTTGGCCAAACTTTTCAATGGGTTCTGTGAGCGTGGTTTGGGTGGGTGTGGCTTGGTGGAATGGTGTCGCCCCAACTTGCCGTACTCCCACTCAGTCACATGAAGCCCTCCAC